TGCCACCGGGAACAAAACATTACCTCAATCGCGGCGTAGATCACCGTGCTCTTTGTTGTCGTCAGTATACACAAGGCCCCATGCACAGCGCGAGTTCAAGACCGGACGGTCACGTGACCCGTATCTCCTGACTCCAGGTGGCCCCACATACCAGACCTGCACGCGGTGTCGACACTGGCGACGGTTCGCGGGAGATTAAGACCACCCGCTGCGCGCACGGACATGCTCGGTCGTTTCTACAATTCGGGAGCGGTTATTAGTGCTGCTTCATATTCACGGCCATAAATATTCATGTGTGTCTGCCCCGCGCTTACACGCCAGCACCGTCAACTGATTGTTGTTCTCGAGTGCCAGCTGTTTGCTGTAGCTCTTCACCGACAAGAGAAGTTTTCTGTGCTGTTGGGCATGCACGAAGCAGCGTCAGAAAGCTGTGGGGTGGGTAGGGGAGGGGGGGGGGGGGTATCTGAACATGTATTCAAGTCAATTATATCTATGCGTCACCATCAAGACAGTCAACTTCCGCGAAAAGCGAAGGTCAGTCTCCTACGACTATCTCTTCACCCAGAGGGGGGAGAGGGGGAGGGGGCCGGGCTCCAGATGCACTAGATCCACTAAGCCACCCCAGTTTTTGTCACCACCCTCTCAGCTTTGAATGCGAAGTCGGTCAAGCCGATGGCACGTGTGTGTCGATACCATCGGTTCAGATATTCCGCGCGACAGCGACGGTTGGTATAGCAGGACCCCCCCCCCCCCCCTTCAGCCCCGATATTCTGAGCGACAGCGACGGTTGATATAGCAGGGCGCCTCTCCAGCTGACTTTACTGGAGTCATCGATACTGACCCCGAAGACGGGAGTAACGTCATACTAGATAACAGCTTGCGTGCAACAGCAATGTACCGGCATAATACCAGCTTCTCACCAAAACATACCAACCTTACGCCAAATCACACCACCATTTTTACCAAAACACATCAACATTGTACCAGCATTACACCAGCAGGTGCCTCAGCGGTCTGGGGAAAGGTGTTGGGACCTGTGATCCAGCGTCACTGGGTACAGGTCCCCGAGTGGGCTTGCTGGTCCGAATGACGAATAAGCTGACAACTGGACAATGAGGGTCAACACAGTCCGAGGTGGCTGTGCCCCAGCATTGTGTGACACCATAGACCATCCGCGGGCCTGCCTGGTGAAAGGGCGAAGGGAAAATTACAGGTTGAATGTGACGGCACAGCATGAGCGTTCTGTTCACGGTGTACATAACGAGCTATGCTTAGCAGATACCTTGAAACCAACGTCATCCATGCCAACCATTCGGAAGAAATAATAAACAACACCGTGCTGACGTTACGCCAACATTTTATCAGCATTGTACCGACATTTTACGAACATTATGCCAACATTATACCAACATTATGCCAGCGCTTACTAACATTATGTCAACACTATGCCACTCAACATTAAAGCCTCTGGTCGCCGCTCAGATCCCCGGGGTGAGATGTCAACCCTGGAAGTGGCTGTAAGAGGCCCGGGACGTACAGTGTCCGACACCAGGGGGACTTGGCTACTGAGAGGCCCGGGACGTACAGTGTCCGACACCAGGCAGACTTGGTCACTCAGAGGCCCGGGACGCACAGTGTCCGACACCAGGGGGATTTGGCTACTGAGAGGCCCGGGACGTACAGTGTCCGACACGAGGCGGACTTGGTTACTCAGAGGCCCGGGACGTACAGTGTCCGACACCAGGGGGACTTGACTACTAAGAGGCCCGGGACGTACAGTGTCCGACACGAGGCGGACTTGGCTACTAAGAGGCCCGGGACGTACAGTGTCCGACACCAGGCGGACTTGACTACTAATCTGCCTTACGGCTGTTGCTGGGGTGGTGGTGGACGAGAGAGGCCGGGAACGATTTCCAGGAAGGATTTCCCACACCGGGACGTGGCTATTTCTTTGTTTTGCTTCTGCTACTGCTGCTGATGTTGTGTTATGCTATGTTATGTTATGCCATGTTATGTTGTGTTATGTCATGTTGTGTTGTATTGTGTTGTGTTGTGATGCGGTGTGGTGACGTACTGTACGGTGTGGTGTGGTGCGCGTATGGTGCCTCCGTGTGAGTGTGGAGAGGGCATTGCACGCAAGGTGGCAGCCAAGATTTTCTTAATTACAGGGAAGGTTTGATGAAAATGCATCGCACCAATTTTTAACTTCTTATCAGGAGCCATCGATGAACACAATACAAAATAAACGCCTGAGGGAGAGACCTCCTCACTTGCAACCCTAGTGGCATGTACCGATGATCCAGCTTTAGCCAACGGGCCGAAAAAAACGATTGGTTTAGGACGTGGATTAAGATGCTACAAGTTACTTGGCCCAAGACGTTCTTGGTAGGTCTCAATATGCTGTTTGCAAAACTGGCCAAATATGACCTGGCTTTTGACCCAGGAAGTAACGGGGGTGATAACGGGCGCGGAGACGGCTGATGGTAAGCACTGGCATCGAATGCTTTTGTGCTCAAAGTGCTGTGGAACGAATGAAGGTGAGATTCAATCTGCGTCATTAATTTGCCAACCACCCATGCTTTAAAGGTCGATTTGCATATATGTTAACACGAATGTTAATCCGCCAACACTGATAAGGATCGAGCTCTTCAACTGGATGCGCCCATGAACGACACCAACTCTTAAATTTTGTTGTTTGCCTAGAAAGGCTTAAACTTCGACAACAACCTGAAAATAATTTGCCCTGGCTGTTGCCTTTACACGGTACAGTCGAGTGTGTTACGCTAGTTGATTATGAGGCAATAAGTTAATGAGCGCAGCCAGTTTAAATGGCACATGCTTCTGAAAAGAATAATGTCTCATTTTCCGCCTCAAATCCCCCGAAATATCTCGCACCTGGCTGAGCGGCCACCGACTCCTCTCATTTTCTCAAGGGCGTTATCTCGCGTGAGATAATGTCCTCATTCCTCAGGACATTATCCCCCCGTGACAGGCCACACGCGGCAGCAGCGATATCGCCAGGCTGCGCTGCTGCTCTGCCCGGCACCTGTTCCCCGCCAGAATTCCACCGTAACCACCTGTCACCGCCCCGCCCCATCGCCGGAGCGGGCGCTTTGATCGCACGCGCGCGGCGGGAGCTGCGGGGAGGGGACATCGACGGCGTTTGGCTGACGTCCGTCGCCGCTCAGCCAATCAGCGCTGTTGTGACATTCAAATCAGCTGACTGAGGAATTCCGACGATAGAGGAGACTGCCCCGCGGGAGCCGAGACGAAAATGGAATCGATGATGGTAGTGTGTGTGGGGGGGGGGGAGGGAGGGGGGGGAGCGGGAACCGGACCTGGACGATTTCGCGGGCGATTTCACATTGGCCGACGATTTTCACACAGGAGAGGGTGAAGGAACTTGTCCAATGCGGTAGCGGTAGGTGCCAGGGAGGCGGTGAAAAAGGGGGCAGGGGAACCATACAAACTGGACAGTGGTGCTAACGTAAAGAATATGGCGACCGACTGTGATGCATAGACTCGGAATCTCCCAACTATCTACAACGCTCCTCCTCCTTTCGGAACCGCAGACTTAAGGCATACCGCTCCATCTAGAAATGGTTCCATGCCAGTAAAACTCAAGAACTGGCGTTCAGATCGGCATCAGGTCAGTGAACAGCTAAAAGAAAAACAACATGTACGCTTCGCAGCTGTTGGCGCGGCGCATGGGATAGATTGGACTTTGGAGTCGCTGTGCTCGTGCCAAATTCCCAAATAAGGGTGTTGACAGTGGGCCGTGAAGTGGCCCATGGCCGGGGCAGCGCCACCCAGGACTGGTGCGTCACGCCATACGGCTCGTAAATCCGGTCTCCCGGTACGGCAGAGTATGGGAACAGGTCCAGCGATCACTGACGAAGAAGCCCATCATGGTGTCGAGCTTGTGCCCGCTCTGATCCGACGGCAGCAGGGACCGTCTGAGGTCAACTATAAGGATGCGTGGAAGTCGCTGAATCTTGAAGTTTTTGAGGCACTTTTGACACTTCTGACGCATGGAACACGTCGGCTTTTCTTCTCCATCAAGCACCTCTTCCTTAGAAAGACGTCAAAACGGTCCTGCCTGCGCAACTGGCCTGTCATGGATGGGATCGGCCGGCTCAGGTCCCAAGAAGGGTCAAACGTCCTGGACGCGTGGCCGCACACCGTGCACCGCAGCGAAGACTTGAGCTGTCCGACAAACAGGCTAGCGAACTTCGAGTTCTTTAGAGCCAGAAAACGCTTCCAGGCCTCCAGCGGGCTCTGGCTAGCACTGAGGCTGACATTGATGTGGGAGGGTTTGGGCTCGGGCACCAGGGCATTTGCCTCATCAGGGCATTTGCCATTAGCATGACAAATGCCCTGATGAGGACACCCTTCATGATGGAGGTGGTCGTACTGATCGCTCTCGGGTATTCGCCCCGCAGGATGCAGTCATGCAGGGCGCGGGTGTTGCTCAGACATTGTAGCGCCGCGTTCATGAAGCACGCACTGCCGATGTTCCGGGGTCCCGTAAGGACGAGCGGTCGTGTGGCGCGCCGCGCCCTACCGCCATCTTCGCTCGAGCTGATGATCCCCGGGCAGCTCCACGGACAGACGGCCAATACGTGAAGGGGTTGGGAAGGGCCGTCCCACCACTAGTTCCGCCAGTTAAAATCTGCGATTGCATGTATGCTAGAAATGTGATTCAGCGTCACAAAAATCCTCAAGAGCGGTTTTTGGCTTAATTCAGCGAGAGAATGAAGGCAAACAAAGGCTCATTGTGCTTATTAACGGCTCATTGTGCATGACTTTGGACCGGGCTTCAGACCATGTGGAGAGGCTGGAGGGGAGGAAGCCGATCCACCTCAGTAGACTGGTAACGCAATATTTGAATGAGTTTCTTGTTTCACCCAGGCGAAGGCTCCTGAAGAAGCACTGCGTGAGGGGAACGAAAAATGGCAGAAGAGCGCGATTTTGCAATGAGTTTTTCCTAAACCAGCACACATCGATATACAATCCGCTTCTTTGTGTTTCTATTTCGCTGTGTTTTTTACAAGCTATTTATATGTGTTTCTTCTCTCACATTTCTCCCCGCCTGCTAAGCTACTCGTAAACTTTCGAATGCAAACATACTCGCATTTTTTCTTAGACATTTCGTCTTCACTCCACCAACCCTGCGCGCTATCAGGTAGTCCACCTCCTCACCGCATCCAACACCATCATCACGTCCTGCCCTGAACCATGAACACCGCCGTGATCCAGATCAAGTTCCTCCTGCTCTTCCTTAGCGCTCTGATGCTGGCCGTGGACCTCACCCTCTTCTGCTTCGTCCAGTACAACATCCTGCACATGAGCGTGTTCCAGCCGGAGGCGGCCGTCCAGTCCGCGCACATAGCCGCCGAAGTGACCACCATGCTCAACTGCATCATGTGCTTCGCCGACTGCTACGTCACCTGCTTCGAGCGGGCCCACAGCAGGCGGCACGTCAAGGCACTGGTGTGCGCCGTCGTGTCCGTCTGCATCTTCATGTCCAACACGGCCTCTTACTTCTACATTGCCGGCGGGAAGGTGAGAACTGCGGAGGAGTGGAAGAGCAAGAGAGAAGGGAGAGG